CCAAATTACCCATATAACCCTAACATTTCTTTCTTCCATTTTTCTCTTTTCACGTTTGACATAACAACTTCAGCACTTTTATCCAAATGCATAATTGCTTATTTTAAAAATAAGTTTCAGCACTTTTAAAAGTACCTTTTTAAAGCTGCTTTTATTAAGTCCATCCAAACGGACCCTAAATACATGACTTTACCAAACATGATTTAGACTTTTTTTAAAAAGAACTCAACTACAATTATATTCCATTAATTGTCGTGTGAGACCAAAATATTGGACCCATTAAAACCTTTTTTTAATTATAAAATATCCTTTTGATGACCTGATAATGTGATTAAAAAAAAAATTGATGATATATACATAACTAAAACTCTTTTCATTTATCCTTTTGTCAATACTAAAAAAACACTATTTCCCCATTGAAATTTGTTACTAAAAAATTGTTCCATCATGCGTCTTCTGGGAAGGAAAATCATATTTTATAGCACAAATTTTTTATTAATTTACCGCGCTAGTAGTGTGTGGACAAGCTTTAAGGCATTGTCCTTGATCAATTGACTAAAGATAAACTTTTAATAGAGTATTTGAGACATATATATGACGTTTGTCTCCTTTATTTCTTAGCCTTGAAATAAATATTTTGATAGGGAATGCAAATGCAAAAATATTTAAATACAAAGCAGAAAATGAGTGTACACAGATAAATTGAGGCCATTGTCTATTTAAAACAGGCCAACTACCAAACTTGTATAGTCATTTATTCTACTTATACCTATAAAGGAACATAAAATTTAAGTTTCCTATTTATGATGTTTATTCCGTACTATTGTTTTAGCATGAAGGTTTATGATGAATCCAAAGAGTAGGTAATGCTAGCTTGCAAAATATAAGTACTCGCTTTCAGTGGCGGAGCTAAAATTTTATTGTTTTCTCTTTTGAAATTGAGTATTTTTAAGTAGGTGAGCTCATTTTACGTCCATTAAGAAAAATAACAAAATACAAAGTATATCGGATGCTTCTTGAGAATTGAGCACTATTAAGAAGACGTAGTTGGAAACAATTACTATTTTTTGTCTTTAAGCGACACTTGTTTTGGGACGGAGGAAGTAAATCGAACAGGGTCTAGTGGTATAGAGCGAGTCGCAATTGTTGTGTTGAGTTGTAAAAATTGATTTTAGATCATACATGTTGTTGATGCTGCGATCTTCTTGAACTTGCAGTTACATTAAGAAAGCGGGATGGGATTCTAAATTGGTGAATGAATCATATCCTTGGGTTGAGAAACAAATTGTTTATAGACCAAACTTGGCTCCATGGCAAGAAGCAGTAAGGGAAAGTCTACTTGAAATTGGTATCTCACCTTTCAATGGATTCACGTATGATCACATCTATGGAACCAAGGTTGGTGGGACCATATTCGACCGCTTTGGACGTCGTCACTCTGCTGCTGAACTACTTGCCTCTGCTAATCCTAACAAGTTGGATGTTCTGGTGCATGCCACAGTTCAAAAGATTGACTTTGATACATCAGGTACATCTCGATTAGTTAACATGTTGGTTAACGGTAACCTGAAACATGGAGTATGTGTAATAGTAGTAGTGATAATCCGATTGAAATAATTATACGCAGGAAAGAAGCCACGGGCAGTGGGAGTCATTTTCAAAGATGAAAATGGGAAAGAACACAAGGCATTTCTTTCGACTAGGAAGGGAAGTGAGATTATAGTGTCATCTGGTGCAATTGGGAGCCCTCACATTCTGATGCTTAGTGGAATCGGACCAAAGGCCGAATTGGAAAAGTTCAACATCCCGGTGGTTCTTGACAATAAGTTTGTTGGTCAAGGAATGTCAGACAACCCCTTGAACACGATCTTCGTCCCCACAAATAGGCCCGTTGAACAGTCACTGATTCAGACCGTAGGGATTACGAAAAAGGGAGTCTACATTGAAGCAAGTAGTGGATTTGGACAATCAGGAGATAGCATCAGTTGCCATCATGGAGTCGCTTCAGCTGAGGTTAGTGGCAATATTTCAACTTCTATCAATCACATCCTGATTGTGATTTTGTTTCGTGTTGTTTCATAACGTATTGTATTGTATGTAATTGGTAAGTTTACTCAAGTATAACTCTCTTAATCGCACAGTAATACTAGTCTCTACGTCCATTAATCGTGGTTTTCCTAACATTGTGTTCACATCTTGGAATAACCAGATTGGGCAACTGTCCACCATTCCTCCGAAACAGAGAACAGTAGAAGCAATTGAAGCATATCGAAAAAGCAAGAAAAACATACCACACGAGGCGTTCAAGGGAGGTTTTATCTTAGAAAAGATAGCACTACCTTTGTCAAGAGGGAACATTAGCCTGGTGACTACTAATCCTGACGACAACCCTTCCATCACCTTCAACTACTTCAGCCATCCACGTGATCTAAAACGATGTGTAGATGGTATACGCATTGTGGAGAAGATAGCGAAATCTAAACACTTCACCAACTTCACACAGTGTAACAAAGAGACACTAGATAGGCTGCTTAACATGAGTGTCCAAGCTAATGTTAATCTAATACCAAAACACACTCATAACACAGAGTCGTTAGAACAGTTCTGCAAAGACACTGTGATCACAATATGGCATTACCATGGCGGATGTCAAGTTGGAAAGGTGATCGCTCCCAATCACAAGGTTCTTGGTGTCCATAGGCTCCGCGTCATCGATGGTTCCACATTCAAAGAGTCTCCAGGCACAAATCCTCAAGCCACAGTGATGATGATGGGCAGGTAATACCATTATACTCCCTCCATTTCAATTTGTTTGGCTTATTAGTCCGTTTTAAAAAAGAATGCATTCTTCCTTATTTGACAACTCTTTAATTCTAACCTTCCAAGTGACATGTTTGCCTCATGATTCTTGTTGTCCCATTAAATGCAGGTACATGGGAGTGAAGATTCTGAGAGAGAGATTAGGAAAAGCAGCTGGTTTCTAAAGAATTAGATAACTTTGAAGTAGAAGAAGATTAGACCTATTCTTTAGTTTGTTTTGTTAAGGGGTCTTTACTATTCTAATTCTTAGCAAGCAAGTGTGTGTAGTCTGTCAAGATTGGCTTGCCATTAAAAAAGGTGTTTCTGTGGTGTCTGTGTGAGGTTGGAATTGGAACTTTTTGTGCTGTTGTATTCACATTGTAATGTGTGAAGTTCATGCTTAAGTATTATCTAACCTTGCATCTATATCCTATCTCTAGTTATCAATCTTTTGGTACATTCTCTTCCTGTATACGTTATTTCATGAATTTGACTGGACTTGCAAGTATTCGCCCTTGCCTAGTCAGTTTTACTAATAGCTCAAACAATAGTCATTATGTTCATAAGGCAATGAATAGACACATAAGCAGTTAACCATCATGCTGTAGAAATAGCAATGTGAGTTCAATGAAACTGCAAACAAACAGGTTTTAAGTGGTTCATTTTGCTCTAGCAAAATGAAATCATGTTCTTTTTTATAATTAGTAATGGTCAATTTGATTAATTTCCTGAGTGAAGGAGTAGTAGTAAGGGACTGGACTTGTGGCCTAGTGGTCACAACAAATAAAAGATTTCACAAAAAGAAGAAAAGGAAAACAGACAATAGAGAATGATTAGCACAACAAAAATACCCAGCATAGTCCCCCTACCTCAAACTCAGAAGCAATAACAAAAACAAAAGATAGTAATAGAACTAAAACTACAACAAGAACAAGATATAGTAACATAGAGCAATACTACGACTAATAATATGAACGGACAGTTACAAAACACTGCATTACTATGTACTAACCTTCTATCTGAATTCGTGTCCTCCATACCCTCATATCTAAGGTCATGTCCTCGGTAAGCTAAAATAGTGTCATGTCCTGTCTAATCATTAAGAAAATACTTCTGAAAATAACTTCAGATATCAAAAGTTACAAAATAAGATGAATTTCTCATTAAGAAAGAGGAACTACAAAGTTTTAGTCCCACATTAAGTTTTCCACTTAAAGTAGAGAGGGAAGTACATAAAATGGACATTTTAAATCATCTGGAACTGAAAAATACTACAAATTGTCAGGTTCAAATCTTCTTACGGTAATATCTACAGACAAAATAAGATAACTCCATGAACAAGAACACTGAACAACAATTATATGTTCTAATATAATGTAGGACTTAATGTTTGTGGCTAAAAGTTCTCATCATGTTTTTGATGAAAAACTATGTTCACTCATGCTGCCACTTGAAAGAACTCTCAACCTTTGCCAGAAATTCCTTTTTCTTCCCATTTTCAAAGGAGCAGAATTGAATTGTCTTCTAAAAGACTCGGATTCCACTGTTCCATATCTAGCTGATGCACTCTTTAACTCTGAAGCTGATAATTCCATTTGGACATTTAAAGGAGAATCAAAACCTGGAATTGATTTATGGACTAGTGAAGTATCTGTCATAGAAAGGTCCTCCTGGCTGCAACTTCGTGACATAGGCCCTCGTGTATCATCAAATTCATCACATACTAATTTCAAGGCTTGAACCACTTCTCCCATGAAAGGGCGATGCGATACTTCTGGTTGTACACACATTGATGCTATTGCTGCAACTTTACTGATACTATCAATTGGGATATCAGACTCCATAGCTTTATCTATTATTATTTCTAAACCTTCCTTGGTTGTCAGGAGGGGACGAGCCCAGGCTACAAGATTTTCTTGACCTTGAGGTTGTGATAAATCCACAGGTTTTCGTCCGCTCAAGAGCTCAAGGAGAACTACACCATAGCTATAAACATCACTTTTCACCAGGAGATGGCCAGTCATTGCATATTCTGGAGCTAGGTAGCTGCAGCAAATAATTAGCAAAAAATTAGGTACAAGCCAAGATCATATGTCGGGATTATTTGCCATGTTGCTTATTAGCAGAGGCGGATACAATATAAATTTAACGGGTTTAACCGTATAAGCAGACCACCAGTCCATTCCCCAACCAATGTAGGACTCTAACCTACTCTCCACACTCTTCATCACTTCCATGCCCAGACTGAAGCTTGGACCAGGAGCCCAAAACAAGGATGGACTTGGCTCTGATAATATGTAAAGATATGGCATATAAGCTTAACTCAACCCCAAAAGTTAGCTCATAAAGGAAGGATTGCCTAAATTCATATAGGCAGACCACTAGTCCATTTCCTAATCAATGTCAGATTCTAATCTACTCTAACAAGATCATAAAAGCCGAAAGCATCTAGTTCAAATTTTGACTATGCTTCTGCATATTAGCGTTGTCACCTGTCAGCACTAGTAAAAGTATAGCAAGACAGAAAATTTCACTCAATGAAAGAGTGCATAATGCATACCCAAAAGTGCCCATAACATGAGTGGAGATGTGTCTGTTTCCCTCCTCCAGTGCTGTTCTAGCCAAGCCAAAGTCTGAAACTTTTGGTGTAAAATCATGTTCCAGCAAGATGTTACTAGACTTGAAGTCCCTGTGTATTACACGAGGGCTCGAGTCCTCATGCAGATAGGCCAATCCTCGAGCTGCACCTAATGCAATCTTCATTCTTGCATACCAGTCAAGAGGAGAAGCTTCTTTATCAATTCCTGAAAGAGAAAACATAGAAACCAAAATCACTTATTCAACCAATATCTAACATATCAAATATAAGTTCTGGTGTATTCATTTGTCAGATATGTACTAACCATGTAAGTGTGATTCTACACTCCCATTAGGAACAAGTTCATAGACCAGGCAGCGACAGTTTTCCTCGGTGCAAATACCTATCAATTTGACCAAGTTTCTGTGATGCAGCCTACTAAGCATCTCAACTTCCGCCAAAAACTCACGGCCTCCCTGCCGATCATCTCTCTTTAGAACCTTAACTGCTACTTTCCTTCCATCATCAAGGGTTCCACTGTACACAAGTCCAAAACCACCTTCCCCAAGGACCCTTGAAATGTCAAAGTTGTTAGTGGCTCTCTCTATATCGTTTGTACTGAAAATTTTTGCAGTTCCTGTGTAAGCTAAAATACTAGAACTGAAAGACATGGATTTTGAGCTGGGCTTACTTGCCAAAATCATAGATCCAGCATCACCTGTTCAATATATAGTCATCAGCTCTAAGACGCATTATGTAACAGTTTATCTGCATTTCCTGTTTACTACTACTCCATTTCAATTTGTTTGACTTGACACAATGTTTAAGAAGGAAAACTTCTGAATCTTGTGGTCTTAAACTAAAGACATGAAGAATGTACCAAAATATCCTTTAATCTTGTGGTCTTAAACATGCCATGTGAAAAGTTGAAATTAAAGAGTTGCCAAAACATGAAAGAGACATTCTTTTTGAAACCGACTAAAAAGGAAAGGTAAGACGAGCAAATTGAAACTGAGGGAACATATTTCGGATATTGCAATTCCTATCAGTAGAGTTTACCTGATGTTTTCCCCTGGGAGGAGACTAAAATATGCGGAGGTTGCTCAGGTGATTGAGCATAACATCCTCGCTTAAACAACAGAAGCCAAATTAATCCCATGCACACAACAAAGGCTGTGATAGATGATATGACGATCACAATAATCATATTTCTAGGTATACCCTTCTTTCTCATTCTTGATGACACATCCACCCCCAGAGGTTTGATTGTCATTCCATTATTTTCATTGCCAGGATAGGCTGGTAGATCATCAATAGTAGCACTGCTCGAATGACGTGAAGGTGGAGAAGGTGGTAACCCTGGAAAAGAATCAACTTTATAAGAACTCAAACAACTGATGTGTATAACACAAATAAGGTGCAGAGGCACGGCTATTAGAGAATGGAGAATAAGCAAAATCAGCATGATAAAACTAATTTAGCCAGTGAACATTGACACTACTGAAGTAACAACCAATTAAATATTAATGGTACTAATTGACAACCTGGATAACGGACATAAACCATCTCATAGGCACCAAAATCCGTAGTCTTAATGAATACTGCCCTCTTCCAGAACTTCTGATAGATGGTTAAAGCTGTGGTACCATCAAATTTTCCATCTGTAGGAACCAAGTTGATATGTACAATTGTTTTCTCAAGCTGTTGGTCAGCTGCATTTGCTCCCATAATCCGCACTTGACTCGTGTTTAGCAAAACACCAGCAGCAATTTCCTTGGCTAGCTCAGATACCAAAGGAAAGAAGGTATAGAGTGTGACATTGAGGCACATCGCTACCTGAATGGGCCACACACAGCCGCAGGGTGACCCAGGAGGTGTGTACGTCAACGGCTCAGTGCATGTCAAAGAACTACAATCTAATAATCATACATTTTACTTAATAAAAAATGATAAATAAAGGAAAAGAACATCAATAAGAGAGCTAAAAGCACTTGTCTATGTACCATGATTCGGAGGTGGTGGTGGCAGTGTCATAACAGGTAAAGGTGGTGGTCTCAGTTTCTTTCGTTTTATAGATGAACTCGTTGGCGATATTGTAGGTGTACTCATGGGAACTGACAACAATACAAAAAATCAGATAATTAGCATTGTTAAGTGTTACCTTTTATTAAAAACAAAAAAAAAGACTAGATGCATTAGCATTACAATTTATACACATACTTTCTGTGTGACTAGGTTGGGTTATCGGTGATGATACAGGTGCCCAACTTATTGAAGAAGGAACAGGAGACATGAACGGAGAGATTGAAGGACCTATATGTTTTATGAAAAGAAAAATATAGTCACTTGTTTATTTTCTATTTACAAGACCGAAGACGATACGTTTTTAGAATAGCTTACCTGACCACCTTGAACTGGGTGGATGGAGGCGATCATTTGGTTTAGCCGTAGAGTCACTGTGTTTGTTTCTCCTGTGATGATGCCTAATAGAGGAGATTATAGGCGCAGATGCAGAACTGTGTACTTGCTTCCCACCAGAATTCCTAAAATGGGTTGAAGTTAAAGGTGCATCCGCGTAATTTGATGGTTCCAAGATCTTGTGCTGATAAGTAGCTACAGAAACAAATCTGACTATCAGATTTTACCAAATTCAGCACATAAATAGTTCTAGCTATTTAAAATACCTTTAGTTGGATGATGATATGGGTGTGGAGCACTGTGAAATGCCTCGAGATGGGGCGCAGCAGCAAACATTGCATGTCTCTTCGATCTAGAAGTTGGAGTGGGGAACAAATCTGCAATGTGTATGTGATGCAACACCATATCAAAAGATCTGCTAGTCAGGAAATATCTATTACATTTTACATGA